AGTATTTTTTCTTGTCAATGTTTTCAAGAGTCTGGACTCTAGATCCAATGTGTTTTTTTTTTTTCCAGTGTAGGCTCAGTATGCTGTGGAATACACAGAAACAGTAAACTCTTTATTTTTAAGGGGAAAAATGCCAAGGGTGATATTTCGAAGTTCCTCGACAAATCCTCCTTTATAATTGTTGCGGGTTGCATCTGCACCCCCTGGAATTCGCGATCATTTCACGGAAAATTAAATTTAATTCCCTGAAATTTCATTTTGAATCTCTAGGCCAGACATAATATGGACACTTCTAAAGCTTATATATTCGTTGACACAAAACGAAAAAGTTTAGAAATAGTTCAGTTGGTTTCCTCGTTAAATTTTCTTCTGCGAGTACTCCGTAAAATTTAAATTTCGTCGCGATAAATATAGAAATTTGCAATTTTATTAAAAAAGCTCGAGGCCCATCTCCACGAATGTCTCGGTCCACTGTGCGCCTCCAACGTGGGAGAGAGAGAGAGAGAGAGAGAGGCTCGGGGNGGGGGGGGGGGGGGGTAACGACGACCAAATCAAATATTCCCGACTGGTTAGTCACTTTTACTTCCAGTTTATGTCACAACCATATGTTCGTTGCCAGACGTACTCCGTTCCGGTTTCTTTATTTTTTTTATCGCGTTTTGCATTTTGAAGGACGAAGGTTATGTGATGAGCAGCCCAAAGATTTTTTGACGCATGGACCATGGACGTACCACGGGCCATGGGCGTACGTTTATCGTCTTTTTCTGTAAAAAAAGAAAAGGAAAGAAAATCACATGCTTCCGATAATTTGTGTATTGACTCTCGTTGATTTATTCAGATATGTCGATCGGTATGAATAGACATCTGGACCTAGAAAAATGTTGCCTTTTTTACAAATACGTACTCAGAAATGTTTCGTCCTCCTCTTTAATACTTTCACATCTCCCTCATTTTCTTACTTCTCATCTTTTCGCTCATTTTCTACCGTTTCCTCAGTTTTCCCCCTTTTCCTCCCGTTTTCTGCGTTTCCCCCTTTTTCTTCCTTTTAGTCCCTTCTTCTCCCGTGTTCTTCCTTTTTCTCCCTCTTTCTGCCTTTTTCTCCCGGCTCCTTTTCCCCCCTTATTTACGCGTTTTTTTCTAAAAATACGGGGAAACCTCAACCATGCTCCCCAGCAACTAACGAGATTTTATAATTTGAAATCAAAACTTGCAGATGGCGACCGTGCTTTCCTAATCCGAGACCTGGTCCAACCCCTGCATTATACGCGCACGGCCGATTTAATGGGGACAATGAAAGACATCAAAACTCGTGATTTCTTATGAGCTCATAGACATTTTTAAGCCCGATGTTTTTTTGCAACGAAAATTGGGTGCTTTTGATCAAAGATTCGGATTCTGCTCAAAATCTTGATTAATTTTGGTCAAAATGCCGTGCATAGTAAGAAGAAATAACCAAAGCAAAACTGGTTTGGAGTCGGGTAAATAGTCTAAACTTGGTATATATTGTTTGCAAACTGTTAAATTTGGAAAGATCGAATGAAAAAATTAAGGGAACAACGAAAAAGATGAACCGAACAGGTAACACTACAATCATACATTCATTCTACGATCATTATGAGCTTCGAATTCTAAAAAAAAAGAGACAAATTGAAAAAATAAAACAAATGGATCTTTGCAGCCGTCTATAAATCGATTTTTGCATTTTTATCCGAATTTTTGTTCATATTTCCCCTTAGAGTACACTAGAATCCCCGTGTACCTGTGTACTGGAGCACTGATGAGGTCACTTTTAGTGTAATTTCCGAAGGAAATACACTATTTTTGAGGTTGTTTTGTCCAGCACTCCTGAGACGTGTGCGTTGTGACTGGCGATGCCATATACGTGGGATCCCAGCTCGGGGCTTCTCTCAGAAAATACAGAGATTTTATCTCATAAAAATCGGGTGTTTCGTACTTTTCGAATTTTTTATGACTTTGATCAACATAATTTGCCAAAAATTATCAGAATAATTTTCGATTTAAACAAATAAATCTCGAAAACCACTAGCAGCCCGCGATTCCTCCTTAAGTCACCGTGTTAAAATGTACCGCATGGTCCCAACTTGGTTCCCCCTTTACGGCGAACAGGAGGCATGGAATGCGCCGTTCAAGGATTGACCTCAGCGGCGTTCCAGTGCATAGCGACTCTATTCGTCGTTTTCCTCACGAAAAAACGTAACTAAATTTCAATGTCGCCAAATTTTCCTTCGTAAATTGCGTTTTAACCAGAAAAATCTTGGGCATTTCCAACTGAAAATTTCATTGATTTTTCTTCCGATTTCATGCAAAAATCAGAAAAATTTTGAAAAAAATTGCACACTTACATTTTTGTAAAATAAATTAATCGTTGGAGTCAATTTGGCAACCTTGGATTGGAGTTACGTTCCTTCGTGCGAAAGACGACGTATTGTGCTCTGCCTATTTCCAAGTCAGGTTCAGTGGCGAAGCGTGAACGATCAATTATCGATATTGCCCCATTTGAAGCTATGGTAAAGAATCGATTATAAATGTGTTCGTAGCGAGCACCCTGTTTATCGATCCTTTTCCATAGGTTTAAGTGGCAGAACAATCGATTCATCGCCACTGGTCAAGTTCCCCTCCCATTCTCCTCACGAGGGCATTTGTTAGACGGAATTCCCGCTCTTCTGTAAGTTACCTGGCATTATTTATAAATGGCTCGTTTAATTCAATTTAAAGCATAAAAATGAGACTGTGGAACATTAAAGACTGATCCCAGTCGAATCGTTTGATTTCACTAAAAATGCTTGGATTTAATCTCTAGGGTGCTAGAAAATCCGAGTATTTTATGTGCAAATGGTTGACGCGTCTAAGGTCTAAACCTCATCAGCGAAAGTAGGTTCGTCAGCCTCCAAATCTGCATAATTCTGGAAATTTTCCGTCAGTTTCCACATTCCTTTGCAGTTTCCCTTCTTACGCCTGCAATAAACTCGTGCAGCGGATCATTTGGATCGCATTTAACAGATGGGAACCCACTCGATTTTTGTGTTTTGAAAATCGTGCAGCTTCTCTTTTGCATAGCTAGATACTAAATACATGCACAGGAATGAAATTTACATGATCGTCTTCGCTTAAATTAATCACTTTTTGGAAGAGGAACAAAAGCTATTCGCTGTTCTACTTAATTTTTTACATAAAAATGAAAATTCTCGAGTTTAAAAATTCTGCAATCGAGCTGGGTTCCATTCTGTCAAATACGACGTATTTCACTGCAGAAAATGAAAGAGCGAAAACCAATGATAATGTCCTCCTGCAACCTCACTCATGTATACTCGCATTTTGGTTGATGAGTCTAAAACTCCTAGATAGGTCTCATGCTCCTAATATAAATCCTATTTTTATCCAAAGTTTGGCAACTAAAGTTTAAAAATTTCCGGACGGAATTGACTGGCTCCCGCCCCTTGAAAGGTATATGGTATATGATGGATGGTATATACCCTCGAAAACGGTAAGTAGGTCGCGATACAGCTCTAATTATACCCAGACTTCAGAAACCGGTCGCTCTCTCGTCTTTCCGACGGTCGGTGGCAGAGCGAATTATTTCGGGCTGCGAAATTATTCATCCAATGTGTATGGATTCATTTTTGCTTAAATTGCTTTGGCAAAACTAAGTTCGTTCGCTAACATTGCTTTGGTAAATTATGGACTGTTCGAGCGTTTCGATAAAAACGATTGAAAGATTGAAATGGTGTCCCAATGAACTAAATGGACCAATTAGGTAAATCAAAGACAATTTTTGTAACCAACCCTAAAGTTTTGAAACCCATTAATAATTTAAGAGAAAATATTTAAAAACGGGCGTATTTCAAAGTGCGCTGCTCTTTCGGCGTACCACTTGATGATATTTAGATGTTATTACTGTATCAAAAAGGCGTAATGTAAGGATTTTATAGCCTTCAGAAATAATTGAGAAAAGTTTTATTCGTCCTCGCATTTTTTCTCAAATTTCTACACTCTTTCAGTTTCTGCGTAGAAATACTTCAGGTCTAAAGGTCCTCACCAAGAGTAAAGGTAAAACCAAACAAGAGTAAATTATGGCCAACCTTAGGCGTTATGAGTTATTTTTGGCCAACCTTAGGCCATATAGAACTACCATCTGTTTTGAGTTCAGAGGCCGAAAGTTACAGGTGCTGCAAGCTGATTGTTGAAATTAATAGACAGAGCGATAGACAGAGCAGACAAGAAGATAGTGGAGAGATTCTATTTGTTGGAGCGGGTGGTTGCAATGGAGGAAAGAGGTAAGTGACAAACTAACTAACGGTAACCCACGAGGGACCCTGTGGTCAGCCCATCATTTTCCCTTTCAGTCTAAAACAACTACCAGTCTCACCCAACAGGATCGCTTCATTTTCCTTTTGTCTTCTTTCTCTATCAATTTCAATATTCAGCCCGCAAGAGAGGAAGGAAGATTGTTGAGATGACCCTACAAGGAGCTAGCCCATATTTTCTTAAAGGGAATACCTAACCTACCTCCAAATGAGCTCTGGCATGATACATACACGTGCAAACGCTAGTAATACAACGTCACAGAAAATCGATGTAGGTTCATCGATTTACCCTCCTCTTACCCCGCCGGCTCCGTAGTTTTGACTGCTCTGGGTTCTAGCGCCGGAGTAACGGTTGCCACGGCTGGAACTTTCAGCCTCAGAGCCCGGCACGTACGGTATTTCCATATATCTCGTACACTGAAAAAAAAGATTGGTAGAATTTACCATTCCTTGAAGCTGTGTGAATCTTCAAATCGATTCTGCCAGAGGAATGGTTACATGTAGCAGTATATAGTAACGTTTACCTTTTTTCTGGCAGAATTGGCTCTAAATTGACGCTGTGTGAAATGCAGCGTGAGGGAATGGTAAATTCTCCCAATCTTCTTTTTCAGTGTAAGCATGGCCTCTACAGCCGGAGTTTTTTTCAGTGCGATTTAATTATGAAAACAAACTTACTTTTTGCAGCCCAAACTGAGCCCTCCCAGAGCGCGGCGAGGTAGGTCTTGAGGTCCCGGCGACACTCGCCGGACACGCCGCGCTGGGCGAAAAGGGCGTCGTTCCACAGGAACGGGTTGTAGAGGTTCATGAGCCACTGGAGCCCCGTGGCCGTAACCGTCCCGTTGAGGGTCTCCGAGGCGGCCACGCTGGCCTCTTCCTCGACGATGACCGGCGGGGGCGGCGGGCTCTTGGCCGCCTTGGTTTTACCCAGCTTCTGGATGAAGGACTTCTTCACCTTCGGCCCTGGGGGCTCGGGAACGGCCGCCAGAGGGGTGGCGTCCTCCATCCCTCCGCCGCCGATCTCCGCGGAGCGGTTCTCCTCGGATTCGCTGCTGTCCTCCACCGAGGATTCCGCCTCCAGGGCTCCCGTGTCGTCGTTCAACGTCGAGGATTTCAGCGTGTCGAAGGACCGCCGCGCCGCGTCCACGTCAACCACGTCGTCGTCCGCCGTCGTCGCGTCTTCGGCCGCCGCCGCACTAACTATCAACACCAACACTAGGACACTCTTCAACCACCCCATTTTTTTTTTCGGAAAAAAAAATACAAAAAAAAAAGAATATCGAGATCGGAATTTGACACTGTTTAGGCCATTTTCGGCGGGGGGTACTTCCTCGATGAAAAATCACTGGTTTTGATAACTTTGAAAATGTTGTGTTTTTGAGTAGGGAGGGATTTTTTGCGAAATCCTACGCTTTGTTTTTTTTTTTTTTTTTTTTTTTTGACGTCGTTTGACGTCGCGGATTTGGAGTCGGGTACCGGAGGTGTATTCGCGGGAGGGTTTTGGACGGAGACTGGTGGATTTCGAGGAGGAAGGAGCGCGGGGCCGAGCGAGCGAGTGGTCGCGGCGTCGCGTGACGTCACGCGGCCCCTCCACGGCGTCGCGGCGTCTCCCACCCGGGCGCGCGGTGGCCCGATCCGACGGACCCCGAAGATAGTGGCCGCCGACGGATTTATGGACACAAACCTCGAAAAACGGTGAGGAATGTCGCCGGTTGGGTAATATCCGGTCCCCGAGCGGCTTTTTCCTCGTGCCGGCCGTTTAATCCGCTTACATCCACGTATCCCCGAGTCCACATGAGCCCTGCCGGCCGTTTTACTACACGCTCCCCGGGGCTCAATCGGGAATGACGATTCGCCCTTACGTCAGAGGAGCGTCGAAATTTGGAGCCGGCTGAAAAAGTGGGGCCACGTAATCGGATTACTTAACGTAACGTCTTTGCAGGCGCCCCCCCCCCCCCCCCCCCNGGTACGGAGGTTTTGATGAGGTGTTGTTGTTGAGTAATTGTGGGCACCTAAAAGGGGGGCTCGGGAATCGATGATGGGTTTGTCGAATCAACCTTTTTAACTTCTTGGGGTCAAGGACAGGTTGGGTCCTCGAAGCCTTGCGGTCCTGACACACTCGATCGCATGATCAGATATAAGGGGCTTGAAGGACAAAGCGCATAAGTGCAGTTTTTGAAAAAATCGAGACATTCATGATTTCAAGGAAAGCTAGTCTCAATGCATGTTCTGTGAAAAATTCGCTCCCAATTTCCAATTTTAAAGTAAAAAAAAGTCAGTTTGAACTTTCTTTCCGCCATGAGGATCCATGTAATTTCGAAACTTGAAACACGTATTTCTCGAGATAGCGAAAACTGCACCATCGCGCGCGCCTTCTCCAAGCCCCAGCCCCTCATACATTGCCGGTGAAACTGCAAAAATGCGGATCTCGGTTGCGGTGCTTCAAAATCTCCACTCATACTTTATTTTTGAAAAGGAGGCCCGATAATAATTATGGCTTGAAATTTTCACAGAATATTCATCACACAGAGAGAACAAATCACCGAAGTTTTCAAGAAATGACGTTCGGAATTTTTTTATGTGGGAAATAATGTATGAAAGGAAGTCTGCAACGCCGCAGACTAAGATACGCGCTTGTGCAGTCTCATCATCGATATAACTTTGTTACACAAAGTCATATAAATGACAAATTGGAACCGATCAATTTTTTTTTACCTTTTTCATTTCTGATCAATCATTTTTATTTCTGTTTTAGGTAAGGCAACACTTCGGATCCTCGAGTATATTTAATCACATTTCTAGTGAGTTTTTGCATGAACTTTATTTGTATTTCACGGGGTTTTCAATCTCATATTTTGTCGGCTCCCGGACGAAGAAACGTAACTCGATTCCAAGGTTGCCAAATTGACCCAAATAGTTCAATTTTTGATTGGATGGGCGAAAAAAATAACGCTCGATACACCGTGACCTTTTCAATGATTGAGTTTAAATATTCCGGTTTGGACTAATGTCCTAATAGGTGGCGATAAGTTGACAACACTGTTTTTTCTCCATTTAAATCCATTAAAAGTATCGATTTTCGGGACACGCTGCCTCACCTAGAATCGATTCCCTGGTAAAAATTGGTAGTAGAATCTGTGTTCCAAAATACCATAGACCTACAGCCGGCTGTAAGATTTCCAATAGCTTCTACAGCCGGCTACACAATTTCTAATAGCCTTTTATAGCCGATGGCGTTTAAACAACAGCCAGGCGATGAAGAGTATGCTAAACGTTGCTGATTACGGATGCTAGGACTTAGTGAGTTTTTGGACTAAATACTGCTCTCTTTTTGGGCCGTAGTATCTTGATTTATTTTGCGAGGAAAGCTCCGTACTTTTGATGGATACCTGCCATTCCTAATATATTAGAGCGGCTTCAGTTTTGTATGATACTGTGCAATACCTCTGGTGTGAAATAGTTGCTTCAAGCGCCGTGCCGTGGCACGCTGCGGCGCGGTTGGCGGGCAGCCAACGCGAAACGCGCATTGGCGCCTACAAACCTAACAGGGATACTTCACGCGTTGCGCAATGCGTGAAGTATCCCTGTTAGGTTTGTAGGCGCCAGTGCGTCGCCGCTCCGCTTTGCGTTAGGCTCTAATATTTAATCTGGCGGAGTCTGCGTTATTCAACCCATGATTTTGAAATTTTTGCACATCCTGTATGGATTATTCTCATTTTAATTGATGAAAAAAAAATATGTATTAAAGGAAAATATAATATGTGTTTTGCAAATATTAAGGTGGTTCCGTATCAAACTAAATGATTTCCAAAGCACACGCATTTGTATAACATTTCTTATGGTCTTTTATAATCGATGGCGAAAAAGCAACAGCCAGGCGATAAAGTGTAAAGCCCTGCGATAGGAACTATAGCCCGGTTGCATACTTTTTTATCGCTTCGTATAGCCCGGCCGTATGATTTTCTGTGCATTCTACAGCCAGCTATATGATTTTCTGTAGCCTTCTTCAGCCGGCTATAAGAATTCCCATGGTATTTTGAAACGCAGCTCTTATCGCCGATTTTTACCAGGGTTGTTTTACATACATTTATATGGAGGGAAAACAGTGTTGCCAACTTCCAAAAATTACCAAATGAGTATGACCAGTGGGTCCTACTCATTGAGGGGGAAAACTTTTTGGAGAGTCACGACCCCCTGACCCCTCGACCCCTCAGGTGACCCAAAATTTCAACATTTTCACTTATTTCCCTCACTTCATTTTCCCTAGTGACACATCAGTGTTTAGCGTACCGAGCATTTCTTTTCCCCATCCCGGTAGAATTTTTCAATGAATAAAGACTGAGCTCAGAGACCTTGACATTCGTGTTTTATAGGTTCTGAGTTATCAGTCGATCTTTTTTGCTCCGTCGTCATTCCCATTGACGAAAAAAAAATATTTGTGATAATACCGAATCATACTATTTTTGAATTTTTTGACATTTGATAAAAGAAATTACACTGACTTCCCATCTTCAGTGATTGTTCGAGTGAGGATGGAAAAACTCGCTGCATTTTTGCAGAATCATTTTGAAGGTAAGTGCAATTCTGACATGTGACCTCCGTTTGATATTCGCTCAGTTATTGAAACGGTCGTTTGATTAAATCAATCTCTCTCCAAATGAGAGCACTCCCTAAGAATAGAAACGCACTAATAACTCGGTCACTGGTCAAAAATTAAAGATTTTTGAATAAGTATGATAAGTGAACATTTTGGAGATACTTGTGCATTTGGCAATCGCATGCCGTTTTTGTGGAACGTGAATTGCCCATTTTTCAAAAATCCTAATAATTATTAAATAAAATTGCTTGTTTTTTTTTGTCAATTGCAAAGCTTTTTTCTTAAAGAAATGTACGGCGGATCTTTATTTTATTGTGTTCGAACAGATAGGATACGAGCTGAGACTTTAAGACAGTCCAATCGGTTCGTGATTTTCTTTTTAATTTTGTGAAGATCTAGCGTGATCTCTCTGGTATATAATTGAGCTTTCCGTTGACTTTTGCTCTGACCAAAATGTGTATTATTGGTACGTTAAATCTGAAAGCAGGTGCAACAGGTGCAATAGCCCATGAAAGGAAAAGCTCTACAATCATTAATCCCTCAGAATACTACTTAAAGAAAGTTACCGAAATAAGGTAATTTATGCGTTGCACAGTCATGTTAAACTAGTAAGACATGAAATGTTTGACTTAAACTGCAAATTTCAATGTTTGTTTGATCAAATTGCAAGTTTTAAAGAAATGTTCCTACCAAAAACTGCTACGGTAAACCAGAGGAGGAACTCTTAAACCTCTCCAAATGGTATGATTGAAGATACCACATAATGTCTGACTTCTCCCATTGACTAACTTCACTGTGCGTCGTCTGTGCGTATGCTGGTAGGTATCAGTAAACAATGAAGGAAATTCTTCCTCAGTATCACTTAAAATTGTTTTCCATATTTTTGCAGAACTCAAAGACTCCAAATAAGCACTTGCAAAGATGAAATTGCATCATTCTACGGTCATCATTGTACTACAGTTGTCAATATTTCAAACTATCCTCGGAAATCAGTAAGTTTTTCTGTGACATCACGAGCTCTTCATTATTCCACATTATAAAATCCCTATTCTCCTTTCCTATATAATGCACATAACCTTGAATAATATTTCGCAGATGGTTTCATTTTTACGCTCATCCAAATGGGGGGTAGCCAAACGTAATTCAAAAAATGACCACTGATTTAACATGTCGGAGGTAAAACTGTGGATACATATTGATGGTGAAACTGCAGGAATGGGTATCTCGTTTGCGGTGTTTTCACATTTTGTTTTATCAAAAGAGTACAAACCAACATCATTGCTTGAAATGTTCATAGATACACACTATTCTTTATACATAGCAAAGAGGTTAGGAAAGTTTTCAAGAAATGACGTTGAATCTTTTTCCATTTGAATAACAAAATATGTTAGGAAATCTGCAACGTCGCAAACCGAGGTGTGCATGTCTGCAGTTTTACCGCAGCTGCATATCCTCCACTTATTTTGTGATTTTTTTTTTACAGAACATTACTAAATATTTCTTAGCAAAATTTTCAGAGAAAACTATTGAAACTGAGAGGAAAACTGACTGACATGACATGTTGTGTAAGCCAAAACCTGCATTATTTTTCGTTTCTTAAATATTTCTTCTCCTTCACTCTCATTGTAAGCCTTTTCTAGCAAAAGCCCTGTAAAATAACTCTTTTTAACTTGTGTGTCTCTTTATACCTCCCTATCAACTGAATAGTAATGGTCATTTGATCAACTGAGATTCCATTACATGTCGTAACTCACCTCCTCTAAAATCTCTTCAAAATTTTTCTTGGTCTTCCGCCCTCCATGTGTAGAATTGACCTCTTGCGGTCCAAAAAGTAATATTTGTTGCGGCAAGTGAATTCTCGCTGCTCCCAATTCAAAATTGGACTGCATTTTGCAATTTGGACTTATAAATTCTGGCTCATTTGAAAAAACACTTTTATGCATAGGGAAACTAATGGCACATACGTTGTTCTTAAACCGGAATGGAATTTATAGTTCCTAATTGCAAAATGTAGTGCAATTGTGTGTTTATCTACCTACTTAGCTTTTTTGTGCTGCGTGATCTGAAGAAAAATGACATCAGATGAAAGGACGATTTTAAGTAAAACAAATTGTTATTTTTTTCTGTGTTACTAAGAAGGTATTACAGTGCCATTTCAAATTTCATATCGTGAGCAACTAAGTCCTAAACCGCTCTCTTCCAAGCGCCGAAGGATGGAGGATGCAGAATTAAATTTCCAGCTAAAATGATTGAGGCACTTCATTTTTCAGTTGGAGTTTGGAATCGATTTCAAATTATTTCGGCCGAAATGACAAAAAACGAAGCCCTACAGTCAAAAAAGGAGAGGGAAAGGCGGGACTACACCAACTTACAGGCTCGGAAGGTCCCTTAACATTGGCACGCGTGGTGGATCACTTGAACTCGATGGCACCTCTACATCTGAAGGAGCCGTGGGACAACGTGGGGCTCTTGGTCGAGCCTCCAACTTCGCGGACAATCAAAACGATCTTCCTGACAAACGACTTGACCATGCCTGTGCTACAAGAAGCTATTAATGTATCGGCTGACATGATAATTTCGTACCACCCTCCTATCTTCAAAGGATTGAAGAGAGTTACATGCAATAGCTGGAAGGTATGCATTGGCATATCCAGCAAATTGGCAACATTGTCATTTCTCCATTCAAGGCCTGGATACACGCTCAAATTTCCATCAATTTCCGATCAAATGGTGACTGGTGCGCACCATCTACCATCAATTTTTTGCGGCCTGCAAAATCTGACCGCCTTTGTTGTCATTATTTTTATTGGAAATTGACGGAAATTGGAGCGTGTATCCAGGCCTTACAACTTATGGAAATGTATCGATCCTTGGAGGGGCCAGGTGCTCCGACAAGAATCGATTATTCAGCATGGATTTAAATGGAGGAACTCCCTTAATGCCAAATTGCTGGATCCACCTCAGTATAAGAAGTGAATTTTTTAGCCCCCTGAACGCTGAATTTTATGAAAACATGCCACTTGTTGAGACATTTCGGCAACACGTATGCTGCTAAACAAATGTTCTAAAACGGTTTGATACTTTCAATAAGATCTATTAAGCCCACATTTTAAGCATATATTACAATTTTTTTTTTTATCGAATCAGATAAATGAAATTTGCAAAATCTTTTATGAGGTGTTATTTAGGATTTTTGAGAAAGACTTGAGATAAATAACATGACTAGATTTTACTGGATTGATGGAAATTTGCTTCAGGTTTGAAGTAGTTTTTCTTCCTCAACGATTAGAACATTCGCAAAAAGTTTGATTGAAAATGGGTCTTGAACTTTAATATTCTCTCCGAATCTTGATCAAATGAGGCTTTTTGCTTTATATTCATTTAATTTGAAAAATTAGTATTATCAGCTGTTGTTCGTCTAATGTGAATTCTAATGCTTGGATCTCCTTTCGTGGTCACTCGATTGATTAAATAAAAGAGTGCCAAACAAAAGTCTTAAACAACAACATGTAGTTTATAAGTAATTATGCTCAAGGAGATACCCTTTTTTTTAAATGTTTTTTTATTAGCTTTCTATTTGAATAGATCTCGTTTCCTCTGAAACTATCACTTGTCTATTTCAAGGAAAAAATAATTGGGCTTTGCGTGGAAAATAGTATCGCCGTCTACTCGCCACACACATGTTGGGATGTAATGTCGGGTGGCACTGCTGATTGGCTAGCTTCCGCTTTTCGTGAGTTAATTTTGACTTTTATTCTGAAAAGATTGCTCAGTTCATCGGAGAGAAATCATCAATAAGCGGAAAGTTGTGTTGATCCCCGAGAAAAACTTCTACCCTACAGGAATCTTGATCTGTAAAATACTTTTGTTCTATGTATGTATAAGCCACTTTTACGGCGCGCTAGGTCGCTCTGCGACGCGTACTCGCCACAGGAACTCGTCATGGTAGAGACCCTGCGGAAGCTTACAATTCGTCATTTCCCGGACGAAGAAACATAACTCCAAAGGTTGCCAAATTTACTCAAACAATTCATCTTTTTATCAGAAAGTACACGTGCAATTTTTGTCCAAAAATTTTCTGACTTTTGCATGAGATCAGAGGAAAAATCAGACAAATTTTCGGTGAAAAATGGCCAAGAATTCCCTGGTACAAATGTAATTTCCAAATCTGGTATCCTGGCAATTTGGAATGGAGTCATACATTAATTTGTGAAGGAACCGACGAATTTAGACCTTGGTTTTCTTCATAATGTGACTCTTAAACAAGCAAGAAAAAAAAACATGAGCATGAAACGAAGAAAAGGGAGGGAAAAGTGGAACATTTGGACGTATTTATGCCGAAAGGAAGTAAGTATGTGCATAGGGGTTGCGTAGAACATAGTTCCTTTTATCATAAGTACATTCATTTCAACAGCCTTGCAACAGCTCTATCAATACCCTGAAATCGAATGCCCTCTCAGCAGTCTCAATTATAGTTCCGACACGAAGGGGGTGGAATGTGGGTGTTTTGAAGTGCGCAACGGGTCCAGCAGGGGGCGCAGCATCCGGGGGTGGGTGAGCGGTGCAGTAGCGCAGACGCACTGGTGAGCGAGGCTTTGTGCATTTCCAAGGCGTGAAATTGCCGAGCATCGTCAGTATACCTTCGGGCTCGGACTGGCTCGCTCAAAGCTCGTTAAGGTATACCCATTAACCTAACCTCGCCAGTGATGTGTCGTGCTTTGCGATAAATCGATTCATTGCCATTGAACCCTACCAAAAAGATCGAATATCAGGAAATACCATAATAATCGATTCTTTACCACAACTTCAAATGGGGAAGTGTCGAACCCTGAGAGGCCAATATTCGCATATCGACGGTGTAAGTCGACAATCACATAACTCGCGGTTTGCGACGTCGCAGACTTCTTGTCATACTTTATTTTTCAAACGGAGAACCAGTCAACGGCAATTTTTGAACTGCCGTGACTTTTCTTCTCTGTGTGAAGAAAATTCTGCAAAAACTTCAAGGAATGATGTCAATTTGTTCTCCTTTAAACAAGTAACATAGAGGCGGAGATTTTAAGACACCGCAAACGAGATATGTGATCGACGACTTACACCGTCGATATATTTCTGTTCGTCTTTGTCATAGGAAGTAAATGTAATTGAGGTTTCAGAGTTGGTATTATCATGAGATGATTTCTTCCACCTTGTTGGGAAAGGAGCCAAATTAAATCATAGAAAGGCACTCAATATGCACGTGGAACAGAGTTAACTCTTATGGAGGATATACTTCCGAGCAAGTGTATCGAGGAGACCTTTTGATTCTCGATAAACTTGTTTCTCCTTTGCGAAATATCGCCCCTTATACATCCAGTTAGAAATACGTGGTATGTAAAATGGAATTAGATTAGTGTCATTCACTAGTTCACTACATAATGAGCGGATATCGATAACTGAAATCGGCCGTTAAGAAACTAGACTGTATATGTTTTCCCGGAACGCTTTGCACCTTATTAGCTCGATTCTTGATGGAAACCTTCAATTGACCTGGTTTTTTTTAAATTGAGTTATAGACCCCGCTAAAATTGAGCCAATTATCACTCCGCGCCCACCAGCTCCTGAAGACAAAAATATCCGTTTCCTAGTGGAAGTTCACGGAGCAAGAAACTTGAAAAGTAACGCTCACATGAAGACACTGTTGGGAAGTGGTAGCTCCAAGTAAGTGAAATCGAACGTCACTTTCCAAACAGAGGGATGTGAACGAACCCTTCAATTTTTTACAGCGGATCTTTAATTGTATTAAATTGAATAATATACGAATTGAGACGTTAAAAGAATTGAGGTGAGTATAAAGTCATACACTAAAATTGGAAACTTATGCTGACAGAGCATTTACTTGCCGTTGAGAGAAGCATTTCTCCAACATAGGCAGATCCAAGGGGGAAGGGAGCGTGGCACAGTGGGAAAAACAGCCGATCTAGCGCCGAAAAAGTCGGAAAATCAGCATCAATGAAAATGGCAAAAATTGGTATGTATGTGTTCCCTAGGATCTACTGATCAAGAATCAGCCAAGTTATACTTCATAAGATCGATCTTATCTGCGATAATAATAAGAAATGCACCGGTTAGCGCGGAGCTGGTTGAGGACCGCCTCAGAGTGGTTACATTTAGTAGCCTCGTGTGTTCGTCTAAGTGTGTCATTAGTGACTTTTAAATTTTTTTCAACAAAGGCTTGCTCACCTAAACGTAAGGATACCAATTTTTTCTTTTTTACATANCGACGTCGACGTAATCGCGATACATTTTCCGATCAAATCGCAACTTACCGCGACCACTGCTACTGGTTATGTCCAGTGTTCGAAACTCACTTTTGAGTTTTAGGAGCCATAGCACAGTGGGAAAAACAGCCGATCTAGCGCCGAAAAAGTCGGAAAATCAGCATCAATGAAAATGGCAAAAATTGGTATGTATGTGTTCCCTAGGATCTACTGATCAAGAATCAGCCAAGTTATACTTCATAAGATCGATCTTATCTGCGATAATAATAAGAAATGCACCGGTTAGCGCGGAGCTGGTTGAGGACCGCCTCAGAGTGGTTACATTTAGTAGCCTCGTGTGTTCGTCTAAGTGTGTCATTAGTGACTTTTAAATTTTTTTCAACAAAGGCTTGCTTACCTAAACGTAAGGATACCAATTTTTTCTTTTTTACATACTTCTATGACTTACAGCAATTTTTGAAAGTTAGCCTCTGAAATAGTCAGAAATTCAAACTTCTAAAGACTGCATCTTACAATATCCAAGGATATCCAAGGAGATATTTATATCCAGTTACTCGTTATACTATCAAGATCACAAAAATCTTTGGTTAAAACCAGCCTTTCCCAGCCTTTCAGAGATATTTGATCAAAACTGAGTCGAAACGTGTGCTTAGATTGATTGTAACTGTCATTTTGCCTAGCAGCAGCGTTGAATCGCTGCGTAGCGTAGGGAGAGTGCGTGCGCAGAGCGCTGCGCGCGCAACTCCCCCTACGCACTTTTATATTACAGCTATTTCTGTTTCTCCCCAAGCCGTCAACGATAGCCTAGTGGACAGCGTGCTACGCTTTAGTTTCCTTGATTCGGGTTCGATCCCCGCCGGAACTAATGTTTTATATTTTATCCGTGCAAATTTTTACTTCTTAGTTGTTTCTCTCGTACTATATTTATTAACAAAATGCGCATGTACAATACTTCATATTTTTAAGATTTTGAGGAGCTGGAAAGTTATGGAAAATTATTGAGCACGCAAACCATTCCCAAAAAAAAAGGGGGGGGGAATACGACTAGTACACTTCATAGTGTAGGAAGTAACCAGGAATAACATAAAAAGCAAGAAATATTTTATTTTAACTCCATTGACCGATCAGGAACCACAAACCAAAGCACAGTCTCCAGGAATGTGAATTACAGCTTGCTGACTAAATTTAGCTCGATACCTCTGAAATTTACGAAAAATCGGCGCATTATGCTTTCTTTGATGCTTAGGTAGATATATAGGACCAACTAAGTGTGAAAAACCAATGGGAAAGTGAACACTCCGAGCGTCAAGACTTTTTCTGCGCTAGATTGGCTGTTTTTCCCACTGTGCGTGGGAGGTTTATCCCCTCCCCCCTTCGCTAAAAGAGGAGGGAGAGGGAAAGGAGGAAGAAGTAATAGGACGCTTGAATTTGGAAATCATTCGTAACGAGATTGATTGAAACTGCACGTGCACGTGAGATCATTTAAAATTCCGAAATTTCTCTGGAAGACGCCCCCGGACCTCCCTTTTGACCTGAGATGCAATCCATACACACCAGATAACTCCTTCCACCCCACCCCCTCCCCGGGAAAAAATCCATCCCTCTCTCTCGAAGTGTCTGCATCTGCCTGTGTTTCTTCAAGAAGCAAACGCACAGACTCCAGTCGGCCTTAATCCCTTAAAATTTTAAAGCCTGGAGCATGGGTGTGTACTAACCCTAACCCGATGCTCATACAAGGTTGCAGAATCTTCTAACGAATTAAAAACCTCAAATAACTCAAAAAAAAAGAAAGAAAAATCAAGTGTTTTATTTTAGGATATCATTGTCTATATCAGCACAGTATTGTTCATTCCATTATTTAATCCCCATTTTGCAGAATAATATCCACGAATCCTAAAGAAAAACGTTTCTCCCTCACAATAACTTCACAGGAGCTGCCGTTTATGTTGAATAAGATTTCCAAAACCTTCTCTGGAAGTATTTCACAAATCAAATTGGCGGTGAGTCTTTTCAGTATTCAAAATATCTTTCAGACGAAGCCGGCTCAACCGTTTCTGTACTATCTCCAATTTAGGGAAGAGGCGTGCTATACACACTTAATTCTACCCAATAATTTTCAAAATTTTATTTGCGACATTTTTCTTTTAAATTATTTTGATGTCTCTTAACTTTTTAAAATGATCCCGAGGTAAAATCGTTGGAAACAAAATCGATATTTTTTACACATTGTTTTTGTCAGCTTTCCAAAACATTTCTTTTATGTTTTTTCAAAATAGGTTACCTCCCAACTGAATCTCTTGATTTTAACAAAGTAAAATAAATCAATGATCGTGGAGTGAACGATGGTGCGATGATTTGATTGATCTTCAGGACGACAAATGAAAAGCCAATTTGACGAAGAGAACTTTTTGTTCATTTATGAATGGATCTTTTTTATTATTATTATTAAATCGGGCTATAAAATGGATATTATTTGAATCAGCACAGACAGTTTTTTTAAAGTACGTTTACTCACATTTAAAAGGACAGAGTCTTCGTCAATTTCACCTCAATTATACTTCTTAATTTCACATGTATTAGTGGACTACGAAGGAAATACATCATTGTTTTTTATTTCCTTTTCATTCTTCTTCTTTTCAACCTCAGGCGAAGAATCACTTCCGATAAAGGCAATACAACTGATGGGCAACTGGCCAAAGTCAGCAATGATTTAATACACTCATTGAATCGGTAATTATATTTAAGACCACGGAAAAAAATAAATTAATGAAACAAATGTGGTGAAACAATCCGTATCCTCGTTAATAGTGTTGATTTCTTTTTGATTGTTATCATATCTTGTATTTTCTTGGACTTCACGTTTTATTTTGCAATCTGCGCCGATTAAGTATTTTGTTAATTATTTCAATAATTATTTCAGGATTCTATCAGGGACGCCGATTTAGGTGTCGATCGCTTCGTTACCTTGGAAAAACCAACGCAGATTAAAGACTTAATCGCTAAGGTGAAGCACCATTTGAATGTTTCACAATTACAATTGGCGCTGAGCTTCGATCACAGTTTAGGTACCGTTATTTATGTCTCATACTTGATACTTCAACCCGAGTTACGTGTAAAGACAACGAAAGAAAAAATTTTGCATGATAGGAGCATCATTTATGCTGTCCCTGATTTCTTTGAACTTTTCTGAGACCTTAAAATATTAGTGGATACTTAAGCCCTTTACCCTTCATTTTCCTCCTCCTCTCTCCATTCATCTCTGTAAAAAAGATCTCCCCTATTCGTCGTTCTTCTCTCAAAAGAACGTAACCAAATTTCAGTGTTGCCAAATTTTCCCTTCCAAAGCGCACTTTCACAAGAAGAATCTTGAATATTTCTGACTGAAAACATCACTGATTTTTCCTCTGATCCCTTAAAAAAATCAGAGAAATTTTAGACAAAAATTGTTCAGGTACATTCTTGCAATAAAATGAAGTTTTGCAACCTGGAAATGGAGGTGCGTTCCTTCGTTCAGGAAGCTATAAACTGTCGAAAATTTAGAATCTCAACACAGAACAGCAGAAGAGATACTTAGAAATAAAAATGCGACAAGTTAGAGTGACATATTGTCGTGTAGGTTAAATTGCCGCATCTCCAAATGAAGGCGCTTTGTGTGTCGCATAACAGCGATCGACGAAACAAGATGAGTTAAGTTTTCTGTCCACGTATAGAGAAAAAGTACGGTTTTTACACGGTCATGGCTTGAATTCTTAGATTTCAGAAGGACCTCGTGAGAAAATATCTGATCAGAACTTGCTGATTTACAGTAAAGCTTCGGAGAGGTGTTGAACATAATATCATTGCAAACGCTTAAACTTATTTAAAAAAAATATATCGCGTCCATTCGCTACCTTCGAAGCATGTATCATAGCGCTTATAAAGGTCAGGTTTACTCATACAGAGTCTGGAAGAATCATATTTGAATAACTACATAATGCCAACCTCCAGCGGTGTGGCATGCTTTGCGATACATCGATTGATCTCATTTAAAGCTATGGAAAAGGATCGATAATCAGGGTGTTCGCAACAAAGACCTTAATAAACGATTCTTTACCATAGCTTCAAATGGGGATTTATCGACAGTCAATCATTTCGCCTCGCTACTGCCACCCACTAATGCAAGAAGATGAGAGCATCCAACATGAAGTTTTAATATAAATGCTGTCTACCGGCCACAACTTAACGAAATTTTTAAATAAAGTTGTCAGGGTCAACGGACTGCTGACTCCATTGCAACTTTGAACATTTTCATCTGACAACGTTATGTTCTATTCATTTCCGTATGCATGTTTTATAATGAAAATTCAGGGGCTTTGCGTTTTTATGAAGAAAATTCAGAAAAAAATTAGGAAGAAAATTGCTCTTGAGCCAAGAATTGGTTTTCAAGGTGGACGCATCTTTGCTAAACGGAACTATAGACGAGTGGAGAAGATGGGGTGTGCACTAGAAAGCTGCGTAAAAAAAAATGTGATTCCCTGTGGGGAAATGGAAAAGCGGGATTTTTCACTCTACCACACGGAACTAAGCGTCAACTAAATGAGGCACTCGTGCAGGCCCGCCACATCCCATCTCGGGCCCTGGTACCAGTCTTAAGGTCCGGGCCCCAAGCACGGAGGGGCGGGGGGAGGGGGTCCGAGGGGCATCCCCAGAGAAATTTTAGAATTTTTACAACTAATCGGACGCATTTTGAAGCTTCCATAAAGAATTTTTCCATCAATTTCTGGGGAATAATTATGTTTTTTTTTTTTTTTCTACTTTCAGCACAAAATACTTGCGAATTGTTGCATTCAAAACATCTGGAACATTTTTATTTTTTTTTGGGGGGGGGGGGCTTATGATACTATTTTCAGTTCTAAGAGGGCCAGGCCCCCTTGGACTCCCCCTTCGTTTGTCTATGGCAAGGGTGTTGAGCCATGAGCCATTGAAGTCGAGGATGCCCAGCCTGGAGACTCTTAGCATCTGACGACGGAAGAAAATGAAACGCAGTTACTAAAAAAATCCCTCTGTACTGAAAATCTTGAAAATAGATAGAAATTTTCCAGGAAGTATACTTCTTTGAAAATTTAAGAAGAATTCTACAGTGCCCCAGCGTGTTTCTGAAAATCTATTCACCTTTTGCGAAATTTGTAGGGTAAATTTTTCACTTTTTCTTACAAAACAAGGGTTGCATGTGAATTCGTAGTGGTTTTTCACGGGTAACACGGGCCCCGGTACCAGGGACTTAGTATCCCCCCCCCTTTGTGGCGGGCCTGCACTCATGAGCCGTCGGCAGGGCAAAAGAGCGTTGTGGACAGGGCTCATGAGTTGAAGCGGAAGACGGACGACCGCGGCGGCGCACAGTGGATCGAGTCAATTTGAGAGGTCGGACATGAAACTTTTAACTAAAACTACGAATTTTGTCACATTTTATAGCTAAGGGGGTCTTAGAAGAAAAAAATTTCACGAGGAATTCAATGGAGTCCCTTTCAGAACCTCAAAGTTTTGTATAAACGGAGTTAAAAGCTTTTAAAGTCTCCAAATTTTGTCGGACTGACTCGGTCCACTCTGCGGCGGCGCACCTTTTTTAATGAAAATATTACTTCATTTTAAATATATTTAGATTTTTAATTTTATTTGTAAAACCTTTTCCGAGCGACGGCATCGATATGAATCTCAATGAGCCGTAATTATGTTGAAAAGAACTATTCAAAAATGAATGGAAGAGAAAGAAAACCTGGCAATAGTGAGTTTTTGGACTACCGCTCTCTTTTTGTGCCGTAGTATCTTGATTCATGTTGCGAGGAAAGTTCTCTACTCTTAAAGGATGCCTGTCATTCTTACTATGTTGGAGCGCCTTCAATTTCATATGATACTGTGCAACACCTCTGTTGTGAAACAGTTGCTTGAGGCGCCGTGGCACGCTGGGCGGTTGGACAGCGCCTACAAACCCAAAGGGATACTTCAAGCATTGCGCAATGCGTGAAGTATCCCTTTAGGTTTGTAGGCGCTAATGAGTGCTAGTCAGCCGCGGCTTCTTCGCGGCTGACGTCACTAGCGCTTTATAATTCCCATTCATTCTTACGGCCCTCGACTAATGAATAGATCCTTTCTTTCCCACCTGTCTCTGCAGCCGGATTGTTGAAACTTTAACTGGCTATGTCGGCACGATAAGACAAGACCGCCAATAGACACCCTTAGACAAGATAGACCCTTGCCGATAGACAAGACACCCTATCCGCGCCGTGTAATATATCAATTTTCGATTCTTGTCGTGCCGACATAAATTTCAACAATCGGGCTGCAGGTTCATTTAGCAGAAATTCGTCCATTTATACCCAGCAATATTTCCAATGTAATTGAAATACTGTAATTATAACACTCCAGCTCTGACCCCTTCATATAATTTAATAGACGTTTTTTTTTTTGCAGATCATCACATCAAGAAAATCGCCTTGGTGCCCGGATCAGGTGCTAGTGTTTTGCTAGAGGCTTGCGGTGATGCTGAATTATTCCTCACCGGTGAAATGTCTCATCATGAGTTGCTTGATGCCAATCATCAAAATGTCACTGTCATCCTAGCCCATCATAGCAACACTGAAAGAGGATTCTTACGAGTGATGGCTCAGAAACTCAGGTCTACATTTTCAACTTGGCCTGGGACTTCGATCGTAGTATCAGATAGCGATAAAGATCCTTTAATTGTTATTTGAACTTCATATTGATCATTCTAGACTATTTTTACGATTAACCAGCTACTGAATGCATATGTCCATTATTTGATCTCTGAACAAGGAAATTAAGTCCAAAGTTTAGTGAAAGTCAGCGTATTTAAAAAAAAACGAAACTTTTGGAATCGAGGAAAAGCAAAAGTAGTCAGGTAGAAGCAAACATGGTTAAGGAAATGCCAGGGAATCTATAGTTGCAGAAATAATGGCAAGTCTGGAAAAATAACACTTCTACGGGAAAATTGTTCAGTCTTTGGGGGTCCACGATCCAGCCTTCTTAGTTCCATGCCTACACAATTGGTAGTATGTCTTAATTTTCGGTTGAACACGGTGGCAATCGTTGATCACACCATTTTCACGCTGATATACCTCGTTGAGGGTACCCCCATGGGTGCAGAAAGATCCTCGGCCCGTACTACCGTACTAAGGAAGAACGCCATATGTACATTCGAGAGTTGCCAAATTTTCTCCGATGAAATTTTATTTTTGAGGAATCTCGTGAATATTTTTCCTTGAAATTTTTAGGAACTTTGGACGAGGTTGTGAACAAAATTAGCTAAAAAGTTGGAAGGAAAATATTCATAAGTTTACCAGGAAATCCGTGTTTTATCAAAGAAAATTTGGCAACGCTTGAAGGTTCATACAGCGTTTTTCCTTAGCGCGGCAGTATACAGTTTCGAGCAACCATGGATTCTGCGTATGCACTATGACATTGCACGTTCGCAGTAATTTTCACCATAAATAGCGCGCTCACAGTACTTTGCACCATGAAATAACGCGTTCGCAGTAATTTTCTAAAAATTCAACTCTCTCGCAGTAGGTAAATATGTTAAAAATGTAATACTTTCACGGTAATTTTTCAAAAATTTAACACTGAAAAAGAAATTTTTTAAAGAAATTTCTACCCTTTTGCACTAATTTTCTGGCAAAAATGCGTTTGCACTTGATTTGTAATAGTTCGCAATTATTTTAAGCGTTTCGCCCCACTCAACTTTTCTACTCCTGCCTTAAAATCACTAAATAAGTCTGAATGAAATTCTCCATCATTTAGTGGATAAGCAATTTTACCTAGTGGAATGTCGAGAGAATTGTACCACGCGTTTCGTCTCATCAAAAACGATCATCGGAAGCGCCTGCGAAACTGAAGGAATACCACAAGCATCGCGCCGTCTCCCCGAAATTTCTAGTCTCACTCTCGGCTCTTGACGCGCGAATCACGCCGTTCTGCAGAGATCCGCTCGCTATTTGGAAATGTGCAGGGCAGCGCGCGTGTACAACTTCGGAAAGTGTAGACTAGAATGAAGCGCATTTTGATGAAACGTAATAAATTGTAGGTTCTCGATGGTTTCAGGACATTTCGGCAACGATTTCTTGTCCGCGCACCTGTTTTGTCCAATAATTTACGCCCACGCTTAAAATAAGCGTCAGTGATTTGGTCCAAGCTTTATTGAGTCCGTAAGTGAAATAATATTGACTGTATCGAAATGAGAACATTGAGAGAGAAGGAGGCGTTGTTGAGGTATCACATTTTTTAAACGAGATGTTACTTCCTTCTTTTGATTTATCCTTTCAAATTGTCATTGGTGAATATTTGGTTTTATTTCTATCCTTAAAATTTTCTGGCTAAAATAAACCTTTTTTAATGAAAATATGACTTCGTTTTAAAGACATTTACGTCATTAAAACGTAGCAAATATTGGTAAAACCTTTTCCAAGCGATGGCATCGATATTAATCTCAATGAGCCGTAATTGTGTTGAAAGAAACTATGCAAGAATGAATAAAAGATGAAAAAAAAAAAAAAACCGAGAAGTACGCAATTTTTTGGTTTCAACTCATTTGTACATCGATCTTCTGTAGTCAAATACGTCAAATTTTGAGCGTTCGGTTGCGCGTGTATCACGCTGCAGCACAGTAAAAGCACAAAATATAAAAGAAAAAATTAAAGTGCTTTGAAAATCATTAAATGTGACACAGAAACACCTTAATATTAACGAAACACAGTGTGCAAACATTTCAAAATTATGAGTTGAAAAACGCTGACCCCAGGAGTTTAAATATTCGTGCCACGCACAGGGAGGAACGGCGTGCTGCCGGCACGAAACGCGCACTGGCGCCTACAAACCTAAATGGATACCTCACGCATTGCGCAATGCGTGAAGTATCCAGTTAGGTTTGTAGGCGCTGGCAAACCGCCCGCCACGGCGCCTCAAGCAACTATTTCACAACAGATGTGTTGCACAGTATCAAACGAAATTGAAGGCACTCCAACATATTAAGAATGATAGGCATCCTTTCAGAGTATGGAGCTTTCCTCGCAAAATGAATCAAGATACTACGGCACAAAAAGAGGGCGGTGGGCCAAAAACTCACTAAGTCCAAGCCTCCATATTCGATGACGTTTGGCATAATTTTTGAATTTCATTAGAGCAAAAATGACTCGATTTAGGTAGAAACATTCTTGAGTATGCTGTCAAGAAGATTTTATTTTGAATCAAGAATAAAATAGCTGACTGAAAGCGGGTTTCTGCTTGATGTGACTTTTCTTTTTATATAAGTAACTTTTCTTCTTTAAACAATCAGGGGGTCTTGAGGGGATTGAAGGTCAAGGCGCATAAGTGCAGTTTTTCCTATTTCGAGAAATATATATGCACTTACAGTTGCGAAATTACATGGATTCTTATGGCGGAGAGAAAGTTAAAACTGACTTTTTGATGCTTAAAAATAGAAATTTGAGAGCAAATTGTTCACAGAATATGCATTAAGATTAGCTTTACTTGAAATCATTAATATCTCAATTTTTTCAAAAACTGCAATTGTGCGCCTTGTGCTCCATTTGGAAATGAATCACACTCTTCTCGGGAAAAGAGGGAGGGGATGGGAGGGGAAGGTTAAGAAGAGTTCAGAAAAAAATGCATCAAGATTTTGCTAATCAATGTTTAAGTACCTGTTTTTATTTTTAAAAAAGGAAGTTGGAAAATGATTAACAAGTTTGATCGTCAGACAAAAAAACTTTGAGTAGGCACATACAACTATAAAAATATAACGTTTTGCAAATAATTAGTTAACAACAGAGATAGCACTGGATTTATAGAGGATGAGCAAAATATCCCCTTAAAGCTGGAAATAAAAGTTGAGGCTCCAAAAATCAAATGAATATTAATTTGAATAATTCACAAAACACGATCTTTTATCAGTCAAATTCCATGGTGTAGGGAATTGCTGGTTGTATTGAAGCAATGATCCTGATTTTCTTTTCAATAACATATTTAATTACAGAAAATCCATTGAGACAAATGACAAAAAATTAAGAATTAGCTAGGATTTTCCTCCCTTCTAATTCTGTACCGAACAAAAAAAAAAAATTCTTTTGGTGATTCAATTTGAAGAGATTCCAGCCACCAGGGATTTAATAGTCTGCTTGGGCACAAAAATAGTAAACATACGGTAAATTTATGCTATTGATAAGTGATAATAATAAAAAAGTACATTTCATAACATGTCTGTACATATTTTTTCTGTTAGGTGCAAAGTTTATGATTACATATGTTAGAAGGCTATTAGATGAAAAAACTTTGTTATGTTTGAAAGCGAATGTTTGAAGAAAAAAAGGAAATTGAAAAGAAAGGATCTTGAAAAAACAAAAGTAAAAAAAAAATGAAATAAAAAATCTTCGATTAATTTTCTTAACAATTGTAACTGAGAGAGTACAGAGTATAAAATTGATAAGAGGTGTGTCAAATTAATTTATGTACTTAAAACAAGGAAATACAAATAGTTGATACTTAAAACTACAGAGCTACTGCAATCTGAGGATAAATAATTAACATGAAAAAAGACAAAACACCAATTTTTAATGAGGACTGGATCAAACGTAATAAAGTTAACAACACATTGAATGAAATTTATATTTATGGTACAAACATGACATACAATGATGATCTCTTATCAATCAAGTTACACATATTTGGTCACATTGGAAAATATGGCCTTACCAACTAGTTGTTTTAAGAAAGTTTTACACTAACAATTCTAGCATACAAATGAAAAGGGTAATAGAAGATTCCTAAATCCAAAAATATATTTTTATTACAATGTTATTAATATGTAGAATATATACAATGATGATCCCTCATCAATCAAGTTACGGAATATAAATACAATTGAAGGCTGATTTAAAGACACAGCCATGCCAAAGAGTTAGGTTAAGCAAGTTTTACACAAATACAAAATGTGAAAAAGGCATTCGTAAATACAAAAACCAAACACAATAAAGTATCTGAAGTTGATTAAAGCTGCCTAATCCATTTATGATTATTCGCTATTGAGGATAAGTAGACTTCGTTTTTTGCAAAGGCTTCAAATCCTACATACCTAGTTTTGTAGATATTTTATAGAGTGCACTAGTGCAGTATACAAACTGAAAAGTTATTTTGAATTTAGAGGAAACACTCCCCTGAATCATCAGTTTATGAAGAACTCCTTATAAAGCTATCTTTCATATTTTTCTTTCCACGATGCCTTTTCAATGTATAATGAATCTTGTGCTATACAAAAAGTTTGGAAAAATTCTCACTATGTGATATTGTCTTTAGGACTTTCATTCATAAAAGAGAGATGATGAAAATTTTGGTGAAAAATTTATCAGTTTGACAATAGCTTCCACCAATGGGTCAAAAATTGGAGTGGCTGGCAGAAAACTGAGCATCATTACTGCCAAACTAGTAGATTTTTCCAAGAAAAAAAACCTGCATCTCAGAGCAAATAAAGGGAGAATGTAAGTTGTATCCAAACTTGAGTGTGTTTCCGATAACGGCCAATTGCGCTGGTAGCAGAATCCTGTTTTGATGCTTGATTCTTGCAGATTAGCTTAAAATAAGGAGATCTATCCGAACAGCGACTTGCTACGTTAAACATTAACCAAGACATCATCCTTTGAAAAGTCAGGTTTTGGACGTCATCCACCCGGGTAGTGCATAATATGGTATGTACTACTGCGGTGGATGACTTCATAAATTCATTTTTCAAGGCACGATATCTCGGTTAATATTCAACGTAGAAAGTTGCTGTTTGGACAGATCTTATTCTTTTTTGTTGATCTGCTAGAATTAAGCATCAAAACACGATTCTGTGATCAGCAGAACTGATCCATTGCGCTGATGTATTAAAATTGTGGTCAATTTAGATGACAGGATGCTTTGAGTACTGTTCATTTTTTTTTTTTCACTTTGTAGGATGAAGATTTCATTAAGTGTGACACATTAATTGCACGACTCTTTTGGACTAAATTTATCAATGTAATGCTGTGAGGCAGGTGAGTAATGACATTAATGGATTTGTAATATAGTTCATTGCTTGGTAAAAATTCATTAAAAACAACCCACCAAAGAAAATTCGGCAGTTTTGCTCCGTAAGAAAAGATGCTGATTAAAAATCATGACGATGTTCATCTTTTGGTTGCTGGGAGTGAATTTCTACTCTGTTGATTAGCTTTTAATTTCTCAAAACCTCATAAATACTGTATTTTATGAACAGGTTTGTTGATGATGAATAGTTTTTAAATTCTTTTATAAGAATCAATTGAGAAAATAGTAAAAATTTCATCTTTTTGACAATAGCTTTCAGCATTGGTCTCAAAGTTTTCTGCGTCAAAAAGCTATTAAATGGTTGTGGAGAAAACCGATATAATTTGGGCAACACTGAAGTAACTTTACTGCCAAAAAGTTAAAACTTTCTGTACATCAAAACCTGATCATTGACTCAATTAACACCTATTGATAAATTCTACTTGTTAGACAGTGGCTTCCAACATCTGCAAGGCACTTGCCAGCAACACCAAAAACTCAGGTAGAAACTTCAGAAAGTCACCGACTTTCTAACGAGACTTATGACTTCAAATTAGAGTTCGAAATAACATCACTGCCTAACAAATAGAATTTGCCTTGTTTAGATTTATGCTTTTAATCAATGACTAATGGATAGGTGATCTGGATTCTCTTGTCGCTATGTACAAGAGAATGTTGACCTAACTTTTATTTCTTCGCTGGAAATCATGGATACCTGGATAGTTAGACTTACAGTTAAAAGCTAATCAAGCAATATAAAGCCTAGACATTTTTTAGAAGCGAAATGACATTTTGCACTTGTAAATTCCACTTAAACATAGGTAATGTCTGCACTCCTCATTTTTTTGTTCTTAAAAAATAGCAGCAAGGCCCAGAGCCCATCATTGGTGATCTTTAAGAGAAATCATTGACAAGAAAGTTTCCTGTCCCGATTTTAGATTTTTTCTGGTACAAAATGTTTATAATAATTCACGGTGAAATCAGTCATGAGTTCTTGCATACATTCAGGGAGTTCCGCTACGCATTTGCCTGGAGATCCACCGTACTTTGTAAACGAGGAGACCACTGTGTCTGGAGCCAATACTGTATTGTCTTCAACGTAACAACAGTCTTTCAATACGCAATTCCGACCCTGGAATAAAAAGAAAAAAAACACACTAAAACAACGTATAAGGTTTTATCGGAGAGAAACTAGAAATAGTTTTACCCTATTTTAAGCTTGATTGTTGTACAAGTATCAAACACTGAGATCATAGCTTTCAAAGAAAGCCAGAATATAAAGGGTAAGGCAAACTTGGTATGTTATAAACTTCTTACGTCCTTTTCTGCATATGCAGTCTCAGAATCTACTGAGAGGACTTACAGTAGTTTATTTTACGGACAACAAAGAATGAGTTTTGCAAAGCTGCCAAATGTTGATAAAATACTCAGATTAAGAAAAAAAAAGGGGGAAAAAATGATCCTCGAAATCCCAAATGAATTACTATTCTCAAGAAAGCCAAGCAGTCTAAATTTTTTCTTTACATTTAGAAACATAATTCTTGTGCATGTGATTATGCGGCCTCAGCAGGATAAAATTTTAAAAACATACAAAAAATATAGGGTCCATTTACTTACATGATTAATAAAAGTTTTTGAATTAAAATTTGGGCATAATGTGTGGTAGGCATTTAATTAAAGTTCTGGACTGAAGCAAATGCTGCATTGTGAGTGTGACTACTTTTGCAAAATTTCCAAGTTTTATTGCACATGTGGCTTGGACTGGCAACTACTGAGGGTTAGTTTGATTGTGGGAACAGCATTAATATTTACAAAAAAAAACTTCATAGTCAGGTAGCTTTCACCTGATCTCCAAGTACTCTACCGACCAATCAGAGGCATTTTTACATGTTTCTTGGGCAAAGATTTACCAAAGTATGAAATATGTATTGAAAGTAGAAACATTATGATATAGCTTAGAGACTTGGACGTACATTTGTAAAAATTAAGATAACTTTTCTTCAGAAATGAAAAAATGCAACAAATGTAAAGAAATACGTTCATTGCCACAATAATAGAGTGTGCCTCGGAGATTCTTGGGTTTGAATTGAATATTTGATTCCAAAAGCGTAAGTTGATTCCTTGCTGACCCTTTACAATAAAATATTTTGTAGTTATGTCCAGAAAGTCAAAAATGTACGAAACCTATTGGGCAACTAACAGAAAATATCTCGAGTCTTTCCATTAAGTTCCTTATAGTTTTCCCTGATTTTTCTGACTTGATGGGATTCTCTGACAACTACACAGGGTGTCTACTAAAACAAGCTGGCCAAAAATCAGTACTTTTAAAGTGCTTTTTCAGTACATTCCCAAGAAATTCAGTACCTTCCCACAGGAAAATTCAGTACTTTTTCAGTGCCTGCCTCCAATTGACGAAAATCAAAAAATCCTAAAAATTTAAATTTCTCGAAGTTGTGACAAAAATGACAAAAAATGAAAAAACTTCCAGACCTTCTACTGAATTTCCGCACTTTTCTAGTGCTTCCAGACCGCCCTTAAAAAATCAGTATTATTCCCGGATTTTCCGGCAATTCCAGACTTGTAGACACCCTGCTACAGGTTTTCCTGCTTTGACAGAGCTGCAGATACCCTGAGAATGTTCTTCAAATTTAAGATAAAAGACTAAAAAAACTGACTTACAACAACACAGTTCTTCCCAATATACGTGCATGATCCGACTTGAAGGGCATTGACTACAGAATTTTCTCCAATGAATACGTGATCACCAACGTGCAGAGGGAAGAAGGCAACCCTGTAATGAAAGAAAAAGGAGCTACAGTTTGAGACAGAGAACCGGTCAAAGAGTCATTTAAAACCGTTGCTTACTCAAGAAAATTATCTTGATGCACACAGACACACATCAGACATGCTAAATTTCATATTTTTGAGCCTAGGACCTGAAGCAGCATTACTTATTATGCTGAAAAATTGGAGCTGATATTAAATTATTCAGTTTGATTGTGAAGTTGGGTTAGGTATTATTCATAATTCCAGTAATATTATCTTGTTCAATGCTTTTGCAGGAAATATGACTATTGATGGAAAAATGGACCTCAGTTCAGAAGTACTAAAGATCGATTTATTGATAGCAGAGTGTAGAAAAGTTGCGAGAACAGCTGGGACTAGAAACACTCCAAAATGTTAACCCAAACTGGCGTTGCCATATTTCGTTTGAATTCTGTGATTTAAAAAGCATAAAAAAATGAGAGAATCAGAAAATTATGAAAGTCAAACTCACAAAATAAATTACAACTTGAGAAAATGTAATTCTTCTTTGAGGCTGAAGTTCAGACTCAGAAGTCAGTAGCAGGGTCAGAATTTCCGCCTCAAAGCAGGAACCACAGGATTTTAAAACGCATCGGCAAGTACTTTTATTTATTTTGTGACTTTGAGCTCTTTATTTCTCTGATTATCTTTTCTTTCATATTCACGCAGCTTGTATTCTGTTACACGTTTCATCTGTTTATTTTGTGTTTTGTTTATGTTACTTTTCGTTTTGTTCCAACGTGCAAAATTGCAAGATTTTAATATGACTTTAGAGCCTCTATTGATGCAATTGAACCAATGAACCATATGAACTGAATTGAAATTGACTGCAACTAATTCTTTAAGAAACTTGAGAGTTTGTCAATAAAATCTCAAAACCCAATTTTCCGACCCAAGTCAAAAAAAAAAAATAAACACTGCACTAAAACTTTTGAATCTATAGATACAAAGCCTTATTTTTGCAGACAAGTCACAAATAGACATTTTCCGCCGTAATAAGAGGTATAATTTGTGGGTCCAGCCTAATTTGTTTTTCATTGAAATTATCTACAAAAGTAAATGAACATTGATAAATGAAAGAATTTCTTAAATCATTGAGTCTGGTTGAGAAGCATTTTTTAGAATCCTACCTGTAGATACAAGAAATACAAAATATGAAAATTGGTAGGTTAAAATTGTATGATGATTAGGCACTGGACTATCATACACAGCAAAAATGCTGTAACTCCGTGCTACATTTAACAATCTTTCCTCTATCAAAATTTGTCACTCGATTACCTACATGCTTACATACTTACATAAAATAGAGTATTTGGGCAGAGAAATAATTCAAAAATTTGGAATGGAACTAAAGCGTTTTTCTTATGGACAGTAATGGAGGCGGAACGTGCTATGTTAAAAGATAAATACGTTCTCTTAAATATCTATGATTTTTTATTATAAAAATTATTGTAAACTTGAGATATTGATTCAGCTTCTGGAGACAAAGAGAGATAATATAACACCACGGGGCTTGAACAGTTTGAATTTAACAACTATTGACTGGAGAGAGTGGCCAATTACTATGAATTCTCTTACCCTTTAGTTAATTTTTTGAATGGTGGTCGTAGCACAGAGTTCTCGCTTAAAATACAGTATCGACCAGTTCTAACATTAGCTAGATCACCTCTCATTATAGCCCCTTTTTGGATGATGACTTTTCCGCTGAGAACAATATTTTGTGATCCACACAGCAGAGTCTGTCGACTGACTTTGTTGCCCGAAGCCTGCAATGGAAAACAAAAGTAAAATCAGTAGAGTATTATGATGAATGTACTTCTTAATTGAAAACTGTCAAGACAAAAAAGCAGGGCTCAGTAATAACCACAATATTGAGTACTCCAATTGTTGGCTGGACAAGCCAAGACAAAAGTAGAATGGAGTTAAGTGATTGGTTCACATTGTGGTTCCTGCGTTGGGTGAAATCGGCAAGAAAGTAGAGAATCCTCAGTATTTCCTGTTCTCGCAGGACTTCCCCAATTCCCCGTAACTAGTACATGACCCATTCAGTTGGATGGTCTGCACCCTTTCAGAGGTCTGGTCCATAGTAGGGTTTGAAAGAGACAAATTTGCTTCAAATCATATTAAGTTCAGGTTTGCGTTCATGCATTACTTCATTTCAGATCAAAATATATGATGCCCATTTTGATTAGGATAACATCAAACTCATTTGAGTTCAACATGCATACAGCAACTACATTCACACAAAAGATTATATTGTGCATCTCTCAATATGAATTGAAAATTAAACGATCATATACAGAGGAGGTGCATTGTCAAATTAAACTTGTCCACTTTCTTCTAAACGCAAGCCAACGGTCCCATTAACTTCCTCAGATCATTCAGCATTTTGCAAGTAGCAACATTAAGATTTTATACGTAAACACACAAGTCATCCAGCAATTCTCATGGAGTCCAACAACGCTGACCGTTTGGAATCAGGTAATTCCGTTTCCAAACGATCCCAAAAAGTTTACTTTGACAGCGCAACTAAGGACTGATCGGTTACATCACCAAGATGCGGCCACATGTCTACCTAGCCGGTTGTCATTCACAATGATGACCTATTTTACGAATTGAATGAGAAATGACTTTATAAAATGGAAGTCACTACCCATTCCATGGCGACAGGGCAAATTGAAGAGGTCGAAGAATAAATCGATTACCATTTCAACATAGCTCGGCTTGTTGTAGAACACATCAGGCAGTTCCATATTTCTTGAATAAATTTCACAGATGACAAATACTTAAAATTGAGGAGATTGAGAGATTTTCACGAAATGATAACACGGTGGATCTGCACGCAAATCTGCGTAGCAGTTTCCATTTATTCGAGAGACCTTTTCCACGATCACATCTTGACTGAAGCTTACATGATACACAGACTCAAATAGTGATTAAAAATGTGTGCAAGATAAGAAACTAGAGAGCGAAAAAGATCCGATTAGATTAGCGGAGATCTGACTTGCTGCAAACCACAACTTTCCCAACAAGATTCGGGTCTTATCACTTATCCCGCGGCCGACCACAACTCAGCCAACATAAACAGCTGACTGCCAAAACATAACCTCAAAAAAGCTTATCTCGTGTAACGAGCTTGCCAACCATCGAATTTGAGATCTAAACAGATCTGCGAGTTAGCGCCTCCAATTTTACCCCTCCAGTGAACTTCGACTAAGGGTTTTTATTAAAATAACGAACCATACAAGCTAAGTGTGTCCAGATAAATCAACTTCCTTGCTCTCATAGCCAACTAATCGTATTTGCGGTGGCGGATCCCTAGTGCTATCTCAGGTTTCTCGAGAGTTTCCCCCCACTTGAACTTTCGGAACTTTCAGCACTATCGATGTTTTTCCCCTCCATTCTCCGTTCAGTTCTCGTGCGACTACGTGCGTGTTGTGCTCGGAGCTTTGGGTCCATGAGCTTTTCCGTGTTGTTTAGTTGCATTTCGTGAGTCGCTTATTGAGGTTATCGCGGCGGTTTCGTGTGTTTTTGTGATTTGTTGAACACGTTTTCTCGGCCGTCATGGCGGAAGAAGAAAATAATGAAGAGGCCGCGAGTGACACCAAATTTGGGCTTAGACTGCGGGGCAGGAAAGGAGCTTTGAAGAAAAAGAATGTGTACAATGTCAAAGATCATAAATTTATCCCCAGATTCTTCAAGCAACCCACTTTCTGCAGCCACTGCAAGGATTTCATTTGGTATGTAATTTTTTTCTTTTGCGCAGAGCTTTTACAGTCAGCGACGCATCCATTCGCTGTTGCTGCAAGTAATTCCTCCGGACTCTTCGTTTCGGCAGGATTTGACAGAGGATAAATCTATCACACTGACAGGAACCAACTGTCATTTGAAAGTGGGGCACTGTTTACATACGCACCTACACATCCTGGGTACAATGGCAACATTCCTTAATTCAACTGACAATAATGTCATAAAGTAGTGTTGACTGTTATGCATGTTACAAGTTGCCGCATCAACCCTAAATCATTTTTCTCACAGCGTAGAGGATTTATGAAGTCACGCATGTTGTGGCACTATTGTTTCATCCATCTTGTTAGAAAGCAACATACCTTAAAGTTTGTCAACCAAATAATCACTGGAAGTTAAGAACCTCAATATATCTGCGGAGATGTCTTGTCTGAGACTCTGGTTCTGTGCATTACCCATTAAATTTCTTGAAAATGGACAATCTTTTAGCGCAACACATTTCTTCAATGCAATCAATGTACTAGAATTGCTATGTGTTATTGTCGTAATAATTGAAAATCACAAATTTGGTATCATCTCTCATTCTCTCACTTGAACCATTCTGTAAATGAGATTCAAGTGGCCCATTCGGTTTTTTTTTTTTTTTTTTTTTTTTTTTTTTGAAAACTTCTTGGTTTGAGATGTTTTGCCGCATTTCTGCTGAGTAATCAGATCTTCATCTTACCTGTTTTCAAACTAGGTACCAATAATTACCCTCAGAAAGTGGTGAATGAAAAAAAAAGTATATATACAAATAGAAAATTACTTAATTTACGATGCAATCTTTGTGTAATTTTTTTGGAGGCTTGAGTACCAAAGTTTCAATGGAAGGTGGCTTTTGAATTTATATTGCAGATTGTAAATTATCTTGACCTCCATCAATACTTGATATCTTATTTTGTGTTAAGTGTTCCGTACTTACGATCTGAAAAAAAAAAATTCTTTGACTCTAACTCCCACCCATTCAAATTTGCAAGCATCCTGCACACTTAAAACAAGTTTCTGTGCCTTAAAACACGCAGCAAACTTAAGATTGAGTCGTCCTGGAAATAATGTGCTTATCTAATGTATAAGAAATGCAATTATTCACTGAAAAAAAAAGAACCTTAAATTTGCCCTCAAGAAGTATTTTTTCTTCAATCAAGAATTTTGCTGTTTAATGGAAACTACTTTTTCGCTTAACTCGCAAGCATAATTTTGCTTGTATCAAGAAAAATTCAGCTTAAATCAAGATACAACGAATTCTTGGCGGCAAATTCAAGAATTATCAGGCTTGAGCCAAGCAACTTTTTTTTCAGTGATACTTAACCGAACAGGGACCACACAGAACCTCTCTTTCTTAACGCTAAAAGATACAGGGAAAAAATGATTACTGTAAGTATTATTACCGTTCGCGCAACTATTCGAACTCCGGAGCAGTCATATGGTATCACGCGAAAATGAAGGAGGATCCTAGCGCTTTACCCGTCTCGCTGGAAAAATCACGTATTTGCGACGATATTGACGATTAAAACGCGTAATTTTTTATGTAAACATCAAACTACTTTAAAATTCGCGTTTAAGCCGCGATATTTAGGTGATTAATGCGCACGTAGACTGGAAAAATCGCGCATTTGCCGTAATATTGAGGCGAATTTAAGAAAGGGATTCTATATATTTTTTCAAAATCCCTGAAAAAATAACGTAAGTATATGTCGCGATATTGAGATGTAAATCGCGTAATTTCTTGACTAGAAAAAAAAACTCGGAAAAATCGCGTATTTTCCGCGACACCGAGACGAAATTCGCGTATAATTTTATTGTATCTTTTCTAAACTGCTTGAAAAATCGTGTATTTTTTTAACGTTCACTAAGATTTGCATGAACATGCTCCATGAATTAACACTGGTCGAAGCGAACACTTTGCTTTGACCCCATAACTCAACTGTCTCATTTACGGGAGGAGGTCAAACAAATTAAGCCTTGCAAAATACCTGTATGGGGGATAGCGGGCTGATTATTGGAATCGATAGACAAAATCGTAGACAAAAAGATGACAAAAGGAAAACGGAGTGATCCCCTTGGTAGTAGATGGTAGTTGCAATGGACAGAGGAAGTAAGAGATAAACTAGTTAGTTAACGACAATCCACGGGGAACAACCAGATGGCGGCCTCATACTTAGTCCATCATTTTCCCCTTTAGTTTAAAACAACTCAAAAGGATCACTCCATTTTCGCTTTGGCTATCGATTTCAATAACTAGCCCGCAGACCTGAGTTATGGGTGTGTTACGATGAGGAGGGAAGGAAAAAAAACTACGTTGAAAAAAATGGAATGCTGTTTTAGCACCTAGGATGTCAAAAATGTGTCTGGTGATCCTAAGATCCTGCTTTTATCGCTTACGCAGTTGACTTTACATTCACAGGATGTAAAGTTAACTGCGGGGACAGTAAAGGCAGCATCTTGGGATCACCAGACACATTTTTGACATCCCATGCAGGTGCTAAAACAATATATTATTTTTTTCAGTGTTTTCTCAGCGTTGCACATTTTATGAACGGCGGTCCCTTAAGTTCGTAATTTTCCTAAGCATCTGTCAACGGTGTCAAACCGCCGTGGTCTGTTGCAGAGCAAATACCCCCGCGGAACTTTTGCCGCTGTGCGATGCGGTGTGCGGTTTGCCGAAGTTGAGGAATTATGGGGCAACTTCTGGCGGGCAGTGCCCGGGTCCACGGGACGAGATCCCGTAGTCGGTGATGAATGGTCCCTCGACGACGGAGACCATAACGTCGCCCCTCTGGCGTAAGCGCATATCCCTATTTCCACAAGAGCCCCAGAAAGCATGGATTTATATGTAGAACAGAGCTCACGTGGACTTTAAGATACGCCCTTATTTAGAGGGGCCACGATAAGTCCGCCGTTCCCGTTAAATGTTGCCGGTTAAGTGATTGAATTTGGATATTTTACGTGGGTATAAATGGAGAGAAGTGGAGATTTTTCAGCACTATATGACAACGGGGCTCCCGTTTCACGACCAACTGTTGCGTTCCATGTGCCGGACGTCGTCGTTGGACGTGCACGCGTGTCGCCGAGGTGCGAATTCGCCTCTGCGGCCCTTTTTCCACCCTTACCAGGGTTCCTAGCGATCTGGAAAACCTGGAAAAGTTAGGGAATTTGCTCCAAAAGTCTGGAATTTTTTCAAGTACTGAGAAAAAAAATTTAATAAGTAAACAAATAAAAATAAAAGAATTAAAATTGAAATTGCAATTCCTTCGTTGTATTTTGAATTTTTCGCCAACTCATCCTCTTTATCGGCATTCGGAACGAATTGGAACTATTCGAAAGTGTTCGGTGGCTCCCCCTGCAGGTCAGCCATAATGATGGGGGCATCTTGTGCGACCGGTTGCGTCTGATGAAAAAAGAGATCGCAGGAGCTAGCCACTCCTCTTCACTCCTCGTCGACAGAGGCGTAGGAAGGGGGGGCCAGGGCCCCTAGAATTGGAAATAGTATCATCTGCCCCCCCCCCCCAGAAATTCTGGATGTTGCAAAAAGACCTTCTTCAACGGTAAGTCTCTGTCGCCGTGGCCCGTGAGAGGATGCCTATAAATAGAAAAACCTGTTGAATGCAACAATTTCAAAGTATTTTAACCTTAAAATGTAAAAAACTGGGTGATTTTTAGGCAGGAATTGAAGGAAGATTAGCGCCACAAGTGCCTCGAGATGCGCTCAAGTAGAGTTAAAATTTCAAAAATTTTCCGGGGGAGGCCCCCCCGAAGTCCCCCCTGAGCTGGGAGGTATTCCATACCCCCCGAAGTCCCCCCTGAGCTGGGAGGTATTCCATACCCCCCAGACCCCCCGGTGGTGGGAGGCCAGGCCCCCCTAGGGTGCGTCAAAAAAAATGAAAGTCTGAAATGTTCCGCTCCCCAGGCGGCAATCGATGACGTTTGGTAAAAAAACATGTTTGCCAAAATTTGGGCCAATTTCAACCATTTTAAATGGTGCCAAAGGTCAATTTTGTGATGAAATTATGATATTTTGGTTTAGACCTCGATTTCG